TTCCGCACATAGGATACAAAGATCTCTTGTGGAAATGATGTCTCACTCTGAGCTTATTTATCACTCTGCTTATGTGGCTCAATCAGCACACACACCAACCGCTGACTTTTGACTCAAGGGCATAACACTCCCCGCTTGATATACACACATATCACAATAAACATCAATACAACATATTCAAACATCATTTAGCATTGAAGAATATTCATTCAGTCTCTGCAAGCAAAACAACAATCTCTGAAACTGGTCTGAGAAACATTTTAACAGTCCCATCTTTTACAGTCCGCACTTCCACTTTTCGGACCTTCTTGTCGCTGCTGGGGAATGTTTTTACTATTAGTCCCATGGGCCATTCGTTCCTGCTGGCTTGGAGGTCCTTTAGCAGGACCACATCTCCTATTTTGACATTAGGTCTAGTCTCTGTCCATTTTGCACGACCTTGTAAGGTGGATAAATACTCTCCCTTCCACCTTTTCCAAAAAGTGTCAGCGAGGAGTTGAACATGTTTCCATTGTTTCCCAAACAGCTGCCCTGATGAGAAGTTCCCAAGTGGGGCGGACACAGCACTCATCTTCTGCGTTAGTAGCACTGCTGGAGTGAGTACTGCAGGACTGTCAGGGTCGGTGGATATGGGAACAAGAGGCCTTGCATTAATAATTGCCATCACCTCGGCCATGAAGGTGCACAACACTTCATGAGTAAGACGTGTTTGTTCAGTTTGTAACAACATTGCATCCAGAATGCGCCTGGCAACGCCTATAAGGCGCTCCCACGAGCCTCCCATATGAGACGCATGAGGGGATTGAAAGTCCAAACACACCCTCTCTCTTGCAGGTACTTTCCTACTGCTTTGTTTCCTGAGTTTAGGTCTAATTCCTTACAAGCGCCCACAAAATTCGTGCCTCTGTCCGAGCGCAGAAACTTGGCCGGGCCCCGAATAGAGAAGAGCCTTCTTAATGCATTGATAAAACTATCAGCAGACATAGTCTCTATCAGTTCGATATGCACAGCCCTAGTTGACATGCATGTGAATAACACAGCCCAACGTTTGTTCTGGGAACAACCACCTCTTGTACGACGCGTCACAATAGTCCATGGCCCAAATACATCTAGGCCTACAGTGGTAAAGGGTGGTTCAGGGGTGACTCGGTCTGCAGGCAAGTCTGCCATTTTCTGGATCTGCATTTTGCCTCGCAACTTGCGACATGTGACACACCGATGAATGACAGATGACACAAGCCGCTTCCCTCCAATTATCCAGTACCCAGCACCACGGATAGCTCCTTCAGTTATGTGTCTTCCTTGATGAGCCACTCGTTCATGATAGTGAGTTACAATTAGCATGGCGATGTGGCTGGTAGATGGGATAATCAGAGGGTGCTTTTCATTCTCTGTGAGATCGGCAGCGGAAAGACGTCCACCGACTCGTAAGAGACTGTCTTTGTCCACTACAGGATTGAGCTTTTTGAGTGCATCAAATATGCCACTGACCTTCCTTCCTTCTTTAATGTTTTCAAGCGTCCCTTTGTAAGCTTCTTGTTGGACGGCTCGAATAATGACTGCTTGGGCTCGGGTGAGTTCTTGGACGCTCGGTGTCTCACCGAAACCTTTCCATCCCCTTCGCCCACTTGTCTTTTGTGCAAAGGATGTAACTACATGAATGAGTCTGGCTATGACTCTGCAAAGAGTGATCCAGTTTGAGTACTTTTTGAAACGGTCAGAACCCAACTGTGGCTCTGCTACAGTAGTTTTCATTACTTTTATTTCCGGATGTATCTCTCTGTCTTTTTCAGGTTCGATGAGCGTGAAAGGACCAGTGTGTGGTTCTGTGTGTGGGTCAGAGTACAGAAAGGGTGGACCTGAGAACCAGGTACTGTTCTGCAGGTCTGCTGCTGGAATGAACCGAGTGGCCTGGTCAGCTGGATTTAACTCACTTGGTACATAATGCCATTGACTCGGATGGGTGGATGCTCTAATGCGCGTAACCCTGTTGGCAACATACATGTAGAATCGTCTGGAGGTGTTGTGTATGTACCCCAACACAATCCTACTGTCTGTGTAAAAAGTCACATTGTCTACTTTAATGTCTAACTCGTCTCTGATGAGCTCAAACATTTCCACCGCGAGCACAGCAGCACATAGTTCCAGGCGTGGTACAGTGTGTGCGGGGCGGGGTGCGAGTTTAGACTTCCCCATCACAAACCCAGTATGACACTGTCCTTCACTGTCAACTGTACGCAGATAGACTACTGCACCTATAGCGACAGTGGAGGCATCACAGAAAATGCAAAGTTCTTTCACTTTCGTTGTGCTTAACGTACCTGGGCCGTAGCACCTTGGTATTTGGAGGTTCTCAAGGGCTTGCAAAGAGTCTTTCCATAAGTCCCACCTCTCCTGTTTCTCAGGGGGTAAGAGTGTGTCCCAGTCTTTTCCATCAGATGACAGTTCCCTGAGTAATGCTTTGCCCTGCATTATTATGGGAGCAGCAAATCCCAAAGGGTCATAGAGGCTATTAACTGTCGACAATACTCCCCTCCGTTTGAATGGTTTGCTCTCATTTGACACCTGGTAAGTGAAGCTGTCAGATTGTAGGTTCCAACAGAGTCCCAAGCTTCTCTGAACTGGAAGAGGGTCTACTCCTAGGTCTAAATCTTTCAGGTCCTTTGCACGATCCTCAACAGGGAAAGCTTCCATGACTTGACTGCAGTTTGATGCCACCTTGTGGAGGCGCAAGTTAGACTCTGCCAACATGTTTTGCGTTCTTGTGAGCAGGTTGATTGCTTCCTCTGGCGTGGCGACTGATGTGAGACCATCGTCAACATAAAACTGACGCTCAACAAACTGTCTTGCATCAGATCCGTGTTCTCGTTCTCCCTGCTGTGCTGCCTGTCTCATGCAGTAGATGGCAACAGCGGGTGACGGGCTGTTTCCAAACACGTGGACCTTCATTCTAAACTCAACTATGCTCTTTGTAATGTCATTGTCCTCATACCACAGATAACGCAGATAATCTCTGTGGTCTTCGCGCACAACGAAGCAGTAAAACATTTGCTGCACATCGGCTGTCAGGGCTATGGGCTCTTTGCGGAAGCGCAACAGCACTCCCAATAGGGAGTTGTTCAAATCAGGTCCGCCAAGAAGCACTTGATTGAGCGAAATTCCGTCACATTCTGCACTTGAATCAAACACGACTCGTATTTGTTGTGGCTTCTGTGGGTGGTATACCCCAAACGTGGGTAGATACCAATGTTCTTTATTTAGTGGCAGAGGAGGGGCAGGCTCGGCTTGGTCGTTATCCAACATTTTCTGCATGAATTGGATGTAGTGATCTTTCATTTCTGGTCTCTTTTCCAAAGTCTTTCGGAGAGAGCAGAGGCGTTTTAGGGCTTGTTCTCTGTTGTCAGGGAGCCTCCTTCTCTGTGAGCGAAAGGGTAAAGGTGCAACCCAGCTGTTCTCTTGGTTTTGATAAACTTCACTGTCCATTATTGTCAGGAATGCTCTGTCGTCGATAGACATGGCTTGTTTGTTATCACCCTCAGATCTAACAAACACAGAGTGTCCCAAATCGTCTGTGATGCAGGTTGCATTCATAGTGACCCCATAATTCTCTTTAACGTGAATTGTGTTTGGGCAAGGCTCAAAATAGGATGCACGTCCATTATCTAAGGTGTGTGTTTTATAGACATTGACCTCTGACTGACCATGTGCTTTTCCTAGACACACCTCCCCCACAATAACCCAACCCAGGTCTAGCCTTTGGGCGTATGGTGCATCATTGGGTCCGTTGATTTGCTCACGTACCTTATGGACCCTGATGACGTCCCTTCCAAGGAGTAAAAGGATTGGGGCGTGGTGGTCGACAGGTGGGATGTTATCTGTCACTGGAAGAAGATGTGGGTGATGCTGGGCAATCTCTGGAGAGGGTATTTCAGATCTATTGTCCGGCACAGAGTCACATTCAATTAAAGGGGGTAGCTGGATGTTGACTTCTCCATCCAAAGACTCGAGGAAGAAGTTTACAGCTCTCCTACCTGAGGTTTGTTCTCTGCCAGAGCAAGTCTTTAAGGTGTATGGAGTGGGTTTGGCATTGATTTTGAAAAGGCTGAAAAACTCTGACTTAACCAGTGACCTGTTGGACTGATCATCTATTACTGCGTACATTTTTATAGCTCTCTCTTTTTGGCCTGCGGGATACACTTTGACCAAACTGATCTTAGAACATGAACGTGGGCTATCACCTTGGCCACATACCTCTGTGCACTTCGACTCGACTGAAGGTGAGCTCTCGATTTGCTCTTCATTGTCGTTGTTTCCTGGTGTAGTACTCTTAGGGGCAAGAGTAGGACCAGGATGCATTGCAGATAAGTGTTTGAGGCTGTCACATTCAATACACTTAACCATTGCTTTACAGTTTTTTGCAATGTGTTGGACAGACCCACAGCATCTGTAGCATATGTGGTGCTCTTTGAGATAGGCTTGTCTTTCTTCAATAGTTTTGTCTCTAAAGAGCTTACACTTTTTGAGTGGATGTGGTTTTTTGTGGATTGGGCACTGGCGATCCGGTTCCTCCATTTTCTTTGGACTGAGATTATTCTGGTCCGACTCTGCCGTAATGTCCATTTTGTGTGCTGACACAGTAGGTTTGCGACTATAAGACCTCAGTTTTTCTGTTGGGGGAGAAGGGACATGGGTGTTGGCCTTGGACATAGCAAAGCTTGGGTCATTCCTCATTTTCGCTTGCCGCTGGACAAATTGTGTGAAAACTGAGAAAGGAGGAAATGACACACTATGAGTCTCCTTGTACTGTGTTCCTACAGTTGTCCACTTTTCCTGTAGGTTGAAGGGAAGTTTTTCCACTATTTGCCTGACTCCTCTAGCTGTGTCCAGGTAAGCAAGTCCTGGGAGCGCACCATCTTGTTTAGCACACTGAAGCTCCAATAAGATGTCACTAAGTTCCTGCAGCTTAACATTGTCTTTGTTTGTGAGTTTGGGAAAGTCCTCTACCTTTTTAAGAGTGCGTCCTCAATAGCCTCAGGTGAGCCGTAGCACTCTTCAAGGCGCTGCCAGACCATCTTCGCACCTGCAGCAGGATTGAGGGTGTGTACAGCACGAATGCGCTTAGCCTGTTCGGATGATGTTGGACCCAACCATTTTGTTAGCAAGTCTAATTCCTCTCTTGGAGACAAATTTAGGTCTTTGGTTGCGCTGATGAATGAGGTTTTCCATGCCCAATAGTTTTCAGGTTTGTCATCAAATTGCAAAAGACCTGTACTGACTAGTTCTTTGCGAATTAGGTATTTTGCAAACTGTTGCATTTCACTTGATTCAGGTACACAGTTGTTAAGGTTGGGGGTGTGCTTTGTGGAGTTGGACCAGTACGTGTCGACTACACCAGTGTTCACTGTTTGCTCCTGTTTCCTTTCTCTATTTACAGGTGGTGTTTTCGTCTGAGTGTTGGTTATAAAAGGATTAGTTATTTGTGTACTGTCTTGTGCATCTACTTCATTGCAATTTCCTTTAGGAGGCTGTGCTGAGTCGTGCTGAGTGTCTGGGTAGAGTAACTCACATTGTTGTTGAACATATTCGTTAGTGCGGTGCACTGTACTGATGGGCTCAGCTTCCTCACAAAGTTCTCCGTAGAGCTCCCCGCTCTGAATCTCTGCTTCTTCATAGGCTGAGGCCTCTGCTTCAGCTGCGGCTATTGCTTTTTGGCACTGGAGGACATGTAGATGAGCATCCAGTTCAGCTCTCTGTTTCATTGCATTAGCTTCCTTTTCAGCGAAGGCCAGTTGAGCTCGTGCTGCTTGAGCTTTGGCGTAGGCCCTTGCAGCTGCAGAAGCTGTTGATGAGGATGTCCGTTGAGAACGCCTTGTCGAGGTTCTGGATTGCTGCGACTTGGTGTCGAATGGTTGAGACCGTTGCTGCGTTGTAGCTGGTTGAGTGGCAACGTCTGGTTGCTGTTCACCACCGGCTGCTTCGTCTAGCTCTTCAGCAGCGTAGTCTTTTAGGTAATTTCTTCCTGAGCGTAGACTCATGTTGCTTAAAGTAGCTCTGTATGTTTGAACCCGCTGAGTAGGCGTCTTTTCCTTCGTCTTTTTACTATGCTGCCCTCACGACACGTGACCCTGTGAGGTTAGACAGCTAGCGAACAAATAGAAGAGGTCTTCCACACAAGGCTTGACTTTCTTGTTTTTATGTAACTAGAATATGAGAAAAAATGAAAATGAATCGCTGGTTAACACACATCTTAATAACAACTTGCCGATTAGCCTAGCTTAACATGTACATTACATCAGCATACAGTTCGCTCCATGTAAACACACATAACGACTGTCTCTACACATGTCAATACTCACAAAGACGAACGTTTTCCGAGGTGCGAACGTGTAGAGCACTCTTAGCGTGAACATGAACTAGTCCCTATTTAATAACTGCCGGAGCACTTTTTCACGACATCATAAGCGAAAGGGTACATCAAAGATAGGTTAGTGAACAGGACGCTCCCTCGCTCCATTTCCGCACATAGGATACAAAGATCTCTTGTGGAAATGATGTCTCACTCTGAGCTTATTTATCACTCTGCTTATGTGGCTCAATCAGCACACACACCAACCGCTGACTTTTGACTCAAGGGCATAACAGACGTATCCCTTGATCCGTTTATCATCATTTATCCTTTTCAATAAGGGATTAATTGCAAGGACATATAATGCAGCACTCAAAGGACATCCTTGTTTAACCCCGCACTCAGCACTAAAAGGGGATGAGAGCTTTCCATTTACCTTAACTTGCACTAGGGACTTTTTATAAATCAATTGGATAATAGAAATAAATTGGTCCGGAAAATTATAAGCTTTCATTACTTTCCATAAATAGGAGTGGGAAACAGAATCAAAAGCTCTCCTTTGATCTAATCCTAAAATGCAGAGTTCTGAATCCTTTCCGCTATAAATAATTTCTCTTAACATACTTAAGTTATCCCACATCAATCGTCCCTTAATTGCGCATGTTTGTTCCTTTTCAATGATAATATCTAATACACCCTCTAGTCTGGACATAATTATTTTAGCAAAAATTTTATAATCTACATTCATTATTGTCAGTTGCCTATAATTGTTAATGTCTTCTCTATCACCTTTCTTATATAATAAACACATAACTCCCTCATAAAACGATTTACCCATTGTTTTTCTTTCTATTCCTTCATTAAAATACTGAGTTAACAATTCAGACAGTTCTTCACTCACAATTTTGTAAAATTCAGAGGGGAGTCCATCCAGACCAGGTGTTTTATCGGTACTAAGTTGGTTAATTACTGACTCCACTTCCTCTCTTTTAATTTTTCCAATCAAAGTTTAATAAATGACAGAATCTAATGGTTCAACCTCACTCAAAAAATTGTTAATAGCGTCGCTGTTTGTAGCTATGGATGAAAACATCTCCGAACAATAATCTCTAATTACTTGTCTTTTCCCCTCTTCTTTAAAAACTGACTTTCCATGTTTATCCTTAATTGAGACAATAAAATCATTCCGACTTTTCTTTTGATTATTAAGAATCATATAATCGCTGTTCCCGTGAAAGTCAGTACGTCGCAACATATTAAATAAAACTTCTCTATTGACTCGATCAATGTCCTCTTTAAGAGACATCATTTGATTTTCCTCCTTCTCTTCCTTCTCCTTCTTATTTCTTAAATATATATATCTGCTCACATCTTCATTATATTTTACATTCTTTGCATGGTTTATTTCTCTCGCTTTAAATTTAAAAAATTGACACATACGTCGTTTAAGGAGCTCCCAAAGTTCCGAGAAAGAGGTAGTAAAAATCTTAAGATCTAATATTTTCTTAATTTCAGATTTAACTTCGGACACAAGCAACTCGTCTGCTAACAAGGATGTATTCAATTTCCAATAGTTCAAAAATTCATGGGGGCAACACGACACTGTTGCCATAACCACCATATGATCTGAAAAGTCTGTTAAAAGAGTGTCATATTTCAGACCTTGAACATTATGTGATATGTAGAATCTATCAATCCTTGTTTTAGTTAATGAATCGAATCTAGTGTAATGGACTGTATGTGGATGCAAGTGCCTGTATAAATCATGAAGTGCTGCTTCCTTACAAACTTTAACCAACAATTTGCTTTCCCGCAGTTCTCTAAATTCAACCTTGGATATTCTATCAGTTGCTTCAGTAACAATGTTAAAATCTCCACATAGAATTATATTAAAACCAATCTCTAATAAATTGTTAGCAGAGACGGGTCTTCCAGCGGAATCTGCATGAATATTGAAGATACTTATATTGTCTAGACGGAGGAATAATCACACGTGGGGCATCGGCTTTTCACCGGAACAACACTTAGTTTTTATTATTGAACTCTCGCGTGCACTCTGCAGCATAACAGGAAGCAGCCTTTCAAAATAAAATCACAACAGATGACAACGAAGGCATACCTATTAACTAGCTCAACACCCCCACTTGCACTCACGTTGTCAGCTTTACATGCATTCCAAAAGAAACAGTTTTTCTTTACTATTTGTTTACACTCCAAACATATATTTCTCAAACTTCAATAACTTCCCCTTTGTTGCTGGCTTTGTCATAACATCGGCCACCATCAGACCTGTCGGACAATACTCCAATATCAAATTTCCAGCATTAACTGTTGATCTCACAAAATGATATTTGATATCGATATGCTTACACCTCTGTCTGTTAACAGGATTCTTTGCCAATGCAATAGTCCCTTGATTGTCCTCAAAAATCTTTGGCGGTCTCTTTTGATGCTCATACATGCTTTGCAACAGTTGTGTCAAGTACAAACATTCTTGTGTTGTTGCTGCCAAAGCTATGTACTCTGCTTCACAAGTTGACAAGGCAACAGTTGGCTGCTTCTTTGTTCGCCATGACACCAAAGTACCTCCTTCATTCAGGCTTACGCAGTAACCTGTAGTACTCCTCCTGTCAGTCACATCAGCAGCCCAGTCTGAGTCACTGTGACCTTGTACTCTCAAATCTTTGTCACTTTTCCTGTAGCACAATGTCTTGTCTTTTGATTGTTTCAGGTACCTTAGAACATGTTTCACAGTAGTCCAATGTTCCACAGCTGGTTCTTTGAAGTGCTGTGACAGCTTACTTACAACAAAACTCAAATCTGGTCGTGTGCAAGAGGTCAAGTAAATAAGGCTACCTACTGCCTCTCTGTACATTCTGACATTGTTCATTTTCTCAGCATCATCATTGTAGTTCAACCTTTGTTCACAAGGAGTTGATCTTGGTTTACAGTCTTGCATTTGAAATCTTTCCAGTATGTTTTCTACATATCTCTCTTGTAACATTTTTACACAATCTTGGGTTTGCTCAAAATCAATACCAAGAAAATGTTTGAGTTTCCCCATATCTTTCATTTTGAATCTTGCAGTTAGCATTTCCTTCACAGTTTTCAAAACCCTTTCATCACTGGCTGCAATAATAATATCATCAACCCATATGATCATGATCACTTTTTCTTTTCCTGTTTTCCTTGTGTAAACACAATGATCTACAGGACTCTGCATGAAACGGTTCTCTATCAAATAGTCATGTAATGTCCTGTTCCAGTTTCGGCCTGACTGTTTAAGCCCATAAAGTGACTTTTCCAGCTTGTAGACCAGTTTCTCATCTGTTTTTCCTTTTACTTCATAGCCTTCTGGCTGCTCAACATACACTTCAAAATCTATTGGTGCATGCAAGTATGCGGTTTTTACATCCATCTGATGCAAAATCAGGTTTTCTTGTATTGCACACTGCATCAATACTCTTATGCTTGTCAGGTTAGCAGTCGGAGAAAAAGTTTCATCATAGTCTATCCCAAAACACTGGTTGTAACCTTTAGCTACGTACCGTGCTTTATATTTTTCTGATCCATCACCACTGTTTTTCTTCACATATACCCATCTACCCCCCACTGCTTTCTTTCCCTCAGGTAAGATTGTTAGGGTAAAGGTGTTGTTCTCTTTTAAGGATTGCATTTCTTCATCCATAGCTGCTTTCCACTCTCTAGAGTTGGGTGACCTTGCAGCTTCACTGAATGTCACGGGTGAGTTACTTATCAGTCTGTAACAGTAGTCTATGTTAGTCAGCACTTGATCATCAATGTCTTCTCCTGACTCATATTCATTTAGATAATCTGGTTTCTTTCTTGTTCTAGAAGGATACCTTCTGGAGTTTTCAGTCTCATCACTAAGTGGCATCTGACTGTTCACTTCTGGTTGGTTGTCAGTATCTGGTTCCTGTGAACTGGTACTGGGGCTTTCCCTGTTCACGTTTGGTCTCTCCCTCACCTGTATGTCTTCATCCTCAGATGTTGTATCAGTTTGTGTTTGCTTTTCCTCATTGTGTTTGGTTACAAACTTAACCAGCCTAAACTTTTGCACTTTGGCGCAGTCTGGGAAATAAACCTTGTATGCTGGACTGTTTTTGTCGTAGCCTACAAAAATCCCTTTTGTACACTTAGAATCCAGCTTACCCTTGTTTTGCTTGTAAGCATAACACTCACACCCAAACTTTCGCATTCTGGATAGATTGGGCTTCCGCCCAGTCAGCAAAAAGTAAGGTGTCTGCCCTGTCCGGTTGTTAAAGCATCTGTTTCTCACGATAGCCGCTGTTTGAACTGCATACGTCCATAATTCCTTTGGTATGGCACTCTCAATAAGCATGCACCTCCCCATATCAAAAAGTGTTCTCCAGCCACGTTCCGCTGTACCATTCTGGTGAGCGGAATATGGGGCTGAAGTTTCATGTCTTATTCCATGTTTGTTTAACAATACCTGGTAACTCTTTGCCATGAACTCTGTGCCGTTGTCTGACCTGATACACTTTACCTTCCCGAGTGGGGCTGTATCGGCCAAAAAGATTTCAGTTGCTTGCATTGTTTCACTTTTGTTTTTGAGAAAATATACAAATACTGCACCGGAAAAGTCATCGGTAAACAATAATGCATATCTGTGTCCATCTCGTGATTCTGGATCTATCGGCCCTGCTAGATCCGTATGTACCAGCTCGAGAGGTTTCTCAGCTCTCCTGTCAGGGTTTCTATTCCTAGTCTGGACAAATTTTCCCTGAATACACACCTCACAGTTCAAACTTTCTTTGTCAGTTTTCCCTTTGATTTTCATACCTTCAACCACATTTTGTAGCTTCAGAATGTCACTATGATTGCAATGTCCCAAAATTTCATGCCATGTCTGCACATCAAAACAATTATTACACTTATCATCGTACTCACTTACAGTCTCAAGGTAATAAAGTCTGTTGTGCTCATGGATGTGAAACTTTGTACCGTCTCTGTGTTGAAGGACGTTCCTTCCTTTCTTAAAGATGATAGTGGCTCCGTTCGTGGTGGCCGCTCTCACAGAGAAGATATTCTGTGGAAATGAGGGAATGCATAGGGCGTCTTTCAGTGTTGTTTTACACGGTCTCCCTCTGCTGTCTATCAAGCACACCTCTGCATCTCCTCTGCCTTCAGCCACTCCTTTACACCTGGTGCCATCAGCTAATTCCACACAGTGCGTTCCCGGCTGGAAGTCGTCATTAAATTTCTTGAACGCTGTTTTATCATTCAGGATGTGTGATGTTGCGCCAGTATCCACCATTAGGCCTTTGGTCCTGATGTCTTGTGGCTGTTGAGGTGCCGCGTAGTCATCGCTCATCCGGAAGACATAGGTGTCGTCGCTCTCTGCGTTGTCGCCCTCCTCCGAGGCTATGCGTGCTTCATCATTCCGTTGTCGTCTCCTGCAAGTCGACTCTCGATGGCACATAGCAAACACTTCACCTTGTACAAAAGTCAAGACAGCTTAACATAAATTGTATTGCACCATCAGTATTATGAAAATACATATTCTGTAGAAATTTACATACCTTGTTGGGAGGAATAAGATCAAAATGTTCCCACACAGGGGAGGACATCCTCCTCTTCTTAGCTGGCTCCATTCTCTCCTGACTTTCTCTCCTCACTCTCATAAACCTCCAAACTATCTCCAAACTCTCACTAACCGCAACTCTCCATCAAACACCCACATTTTGAATGGAGTCTGAGGGGTTTATATCTGTCATAGCTCGCGGCAAAGTTCGAACCACTTCATGAACCAGTCACGTGGTACAGCCGGGCAGCGAGGCTTCGGACGTCATCATTTTCAGCTCCTCCCATAAATGAAGCAAGCCTCGATACGCACATCGCAGAAATGCCCCCTCAATTACTCGACACAAGCTTCGAAGCCTCGATACAGAACGTCACATCACTAGTAATGAGTAACTTAAATCTCTGTTTTCTTTCAGCATTGGCAGTCCATGTGTCTTTCCTTCCTTCCTTCTTTGCCTTATTGATTTGGAGAATAAAAGGAAAACCCTGAGAATAATTAGATGAGTGCTGATTCTTATTCTAATCGGATGAGCCCATGATGCTGATTGCTTAAGCCCTGAACCTTCCTTCCTTCAAAACATGAGCACTTCTCCTTCAAGCGTATTTCTGGCAGGAAGACATTTACAAATAAACCGATGAATAAGTGATATCTATCCTTTGTTTGGTTTATGACTGTTCAGTGAGTATTAACAAACCGTGGTATTGAATAGGCCTGTAACCAGTGTTGCAAACTCCTCAGTAAGGAAAATCGCTATTGGTTGTCCTAGAAGTCGCTAAATGACGTCATCGCCTAATTTGCATAGTTGGTCATGCTAATGTAATTGTAACCTATGTTGTTGGAGAGAGAAATAACATCGTGGAAGAGAAAGTGAGTAAAAATGGTCCTAAATGCATTTAGAGTTTATTTAGAACTACAAATTAAATTTCTTTTAGCAATTGTTTTTTTTAATGTCACAATTCCAACCCTGCTCCTTTACCCGGGCTTGGACCGGCAAAAGTGACCCGAAATAGGCACTGGTGGAGTTACTTTGTGATCCACAAAACACATAAGAGTAAAAGAACTGACTGCGTTACAGCACCCGCTGCTTGTTGAGAGTAAAAGCGATATGCGCTTTCACGTCTTTTTTTCTTTTTCTTTTTTTAGAGAAGTCGCTAACGGGTCTCATAACTCGCTAAATATAGCGGCTATGTTGGCAACACTGCCTTTAACCTGTGAAGTTCAGTTTGTGGTCATGTCAGTTATTGTAACGTTGTGAAGAAAAGCACGCATTACAGGTGAATCTCATAGGAAAACGAAGAGTCGATATATTGTAGCGTCCCTCGACAGAAGACACAGACGATCAGAGTCAATATAATATGTTGGGAACGTCAGTCGGTAATCGTTCGTGAAGTTCTAACACACTACATCAGTCGGTAGGGAAATACTGGCAGGTACTAAAGAAACATTGGAAAAAAAAAAAACACCCACAAACTATAACAGAAGAAAGCTCTCAAAGTGTGTGGCTCTTAAAAGAGCCGTTTGATGGATTAGGGCGAATGAGTTTAACCGCCGAAGCCGTTGTTATGGTTCAAAAATATTGGAGATGGACACCAGAGGAAAAACCCACAATAACAACACTGGTCCGGTCGGGTTGAGTCAAACGATGATTTAATGATCACACACGTGGGAGATGGACACTGTATGCAGACAGTCTCAGATCTCTCCTCAAAAAACACATCTCCATAGTTTTATGAAATCAGGGTATTAGAACGCCCCCTCATGCGTAGTGACAGGTGTAATACAATCAATGTTGACAATTTTATTTAACACAAAGAATAACATAGCGTCTGCCCTCGGGAAGGAGACAAACTGCCCCCCTTCTCCTGGCACCGTCTGTACCCTGCTAAGACACAACATGGCAACTACAAGGACTCTTTCATTTATTAAGACCATCAGTGTGTATTGCTCTAAATCAAGTATATAATATTAAATGAATATTGCTGGATCAGCTACTTCTACTTAAAACATATTAAAACATGACTAAGCACAAAATCACCAAGAATGACATCTTATAAGTGCTGTGTAAGCGCGTGCGGCCTTCCAAGCTCAAAGCCTTTGCCCTCCATAGATCAGCCAGACTCGCGCTGGCTGTAGCTTTTAACCTTTAATTACCTTGAGCACAACTCTAGAATGAGCAACAAACTGCAATGTGTATGGAATGATCATGGTTACATCTACAATGGAAAATCATGTTATTATTCTGGTACCTGTAAAAAAGATCAAACTAAAGTTATCACCATCACTGTAATGCAAAGAATAATGTAAGATCAAAAACTTCAATTCATGCTTAATGCAAAGCTGGTTATATACTTCTAATGAACTAATAATGGCATATTAAAATATTAAATGATAATGAGAAAAACATCCCCTCCTTATTCTACACCGTACAGAGTGCGGCCCTGACTCTTCAGAGCGTACACCACATCCATGGCGGTCACAGTCTTCCTCTTGGCGTGCTCAGTGTAGGTGACGGCGTCGCGGATGACGTTCTCCAGGAACACCTTGAGCACACCGCGGGTCTCCTCATAAATCAGACCGGAGATACGCTTCACTCCGCCACGGCGAGCCAGACTGCGGATAGCGGGTTTGGTGATACCCTGGATGTTATCACGGAGAACTTTACGGTGACGCTTGGCGCCTAGTCCTTTGCCACCCTTGCTTTTTTTTTTTTTTTTTTTTAAAGCCTTTATTTTCAACATTCATGACAAATTAACAAGCAACAACACATAAAAAAAGTTGCATCAAAATATTTGGCAATACTCAGAATAATTTACAATAGATACATTAATACAAAAGTTAAATTACTCAAACATGTTAACATTGATTATATCTTCAACAGATCCCAAGGTAAAGGACTATTCTTTTTTTTTTTTGTTCTAAAGTCTTCCTCCTTCTCAGGTCTGTAAGGATATTTTTGCACACAGCAACGCTATCTATCATTTTATGCTCAATGACCACCTTGGCTCTGGTTTTCCAAATGTGGGTGTTAATGACACACATAATAAGCCAAAAGAGGCGTCTTTTACTCTCGTACATTTTTTTTCTTTAAACAGACCATATTTTATAGCTTGTATGTTGTTATCAATTTCAAACCCCATTTTAGTCATCTGTTGTCTGATTTCTACTGTTCTATAACAGGATAATAGTAAATGTTCAAGGGTTTCATCTTCGACACATCGTGACATAGGACATTCTTTGGTGGTAACATAACAGCTCCACTGAACCACCGCTCTAACGGGGAGACGTCCAACAGAAATCAACCAAACTGTATATCTCATATTTTCAGAGATTAATTTATCGTAGATATTTTTAACTACTAACGGGTATTCTTCTACGCCCACGCCCTTATATTTTATCTGTCCTTCATTATTTTTACTATTAATTATATTGTATACTTGTTTAGTGCATACTTGTGTCCAGTTAATGTTAAGGTCTTTCCACTGTTCCATAGTGTCGCCAAAAAGGAGCTTATAATACGGTATATTGGATCTAGCCCTACCTTTTAATTTTTCCCATTGTACTTCGTTACCTCTAATCCATGGGGTTCCCCTATTAAGAGCGCTAAAAACATTTTTAATAAAAGGAATTCTCAAAGTGATACGGAGATGTGGCGCACCCAATCCACACTCTTTGCCTTTATACATTAAGGTTCGTTTCGTTACCTCACGGTTTGTTCCCCATATTAATTTAACACACAATTTGTTTAAAAGTAAAAGTGATTTGTGAGGAGGAGGAAAAACTGTGGCAAGGAAGAGAAGGTTAGATACTATATGGGTTTTGACTATATTTACTCGCGCTTTATAGTTAGTATTTTTATTTTCCCACTTAGCAACTTCTTCTTTAATTTCGCATTCCTTTTTAGACCAGTTTAACAAACAGGGGTCCCCTTTGTTGATCCAAATTCCCAAGACTTTCATTTCGTCATTTACTTGTATGTTTATTTTCGGCTTTTGTAGTGAGGAACCAAACCACACGCCTTCTGTTTTTTCTGGGTTTAATTTTGCCCCTGATGCCAATTCATATAGTTTGAGGTGAAAAAATAGCCTATCCAACTCGTCCTGGTTCCTAATAATAACTGTAACATCGTCGGCATAAGCCATAGCTGTCCATCATTAAAACAGTATCCTTTAATATTAATGTCTTTATTAATTAGTTTCAATAAGGGATTGATGGCTAAGACATACAAAGCAGCGCTTAGCGGGCATCCCTGTTTCACTCCACAGGAAGCATGGAATTGTTCGGTCAAACTTCCATTTACCTTGACTTGTATGATGAATTTTTTATATAACAATTTTACCATGGCGATGAAACCGTCCGGCATCCCATAGGCTTTCATAACCGCCCATATATACGAAAGAGAAAGATAATCAAATGCTTTCTTTTGATCTAAGCCAAGAATAAAAAAGTCAGAGTCTCTTCTGGAGTATATTACCTCTCTTAGGGTGCACAGATTATCCCACATCTGGCGACCTTTTATAGCACATGTCTGTTCCCTCACAATTTTATCTAATATATCTTCTAATCTTATTATTTTAGCTAATATTTTATAATCAACATTCATTATTGTTAATTGTCTATAATTATTTATATCACTTTTATCACCTTTTTTATATAATAAACACATCAGGCCAAAATAGAAAGACTCACATAATACTCCTTTTTCAAGCCCTGAATTCAAAGTTGAGGTTAAAAGTTCATTTACTTCCGCTATACCCAACTTGTAAAACTCAGCTGGGACACCATCTAAACCTGGAGTTTTATTGTTATTCAGTTGCTCAATAGCAGCTAAAACCTCTTCTTTTCTTATCACCCCAAGGAGTGAATCAAAAACAGAAGGTTCAAGAGGTTCAATAACACTTAACAATGATCGTAAAGTATTGCTGTCTGAAAGTAATGCAGAAAACATGGAAAAGCATTGTTCTCTGACAACGTATCTTTTCTCACTCTCATTGGCGGTTAATTTTCCACTTCCATCCCTAATCGAGGGGATAAAGATGCTACCACGTCTCCTCTGACCAGAGACAATCGCAAAGTCAGTGTTTCCGTTTTCATCACACCCTGCTGTTATCTGCATATTAAGTAATAATTCAGTATTTATCAATTATATTTCTTTTTTCAACTCATCCATCTGATGTTCCTCTTCTTCGTTTCTTTTTTTATACTTTAGACTTATATATGCCTTTACATCTTCATTATATTTCATATTCTTGGCATGATTTAACTCCCGACATTTAAATTTGAAGAAATCTTTTAAGCAAATCCCACAGTTCTATCTCAGAACTTACCAGAACTCTTAATTGCAATATTTTTTTTAATTTCACATTTTAGTTCTTGTATTAGCGTCAGATTCCTCAAACACGCCGTATTTAATTTCCAATAGTTTTTAGGATAGTCAAGACCACACTGCATTGTAGCTTTAACAATCATATGATCAGATAGATCAGTCATATAGGTGTCATAATTAAGGGCGTGTATTGAAGAAGAAATATAAATCCTATCTATTCTAGTAAAATGAATCTTTGTGGGATGTAATATTCTATAGAGATCTCTAAGGGAAGCATCTGCGCAAACCTGCGCTAAAAATTTACCTTCACGATTGATCTTAAAAGGCGTTGTAGCAACTCTATCACTTTCCTCCGTTACAATATTAAAATCGCCACCCATTATTAAATTAAAACCCACTTCCAAGAGCTGCTTCATTTTTTTTAACAGCCTCATTTTCTTTGTCCTTTCAGGTGCAGTATAAACATTGATGATCCGCATCTTCTGTCCATGATAAAAACAGTCAACTAAAAGAAGTGTACTGGCCTCGTAGAACCACTTTCTACTATCCAGGAGTTAAACACCTCCACACAAAAGTCACTGACGCCAGAGTGGGTTTAGACTTTGCTTTATATGGCAGGTGTGAAACTGTAACAACAAAATACAGTATATATGAGTGACAAATTAAATAATTACTTGAGGAGCTGCGTGACCAAGTGCTAATGCTAACACCAAACAACTGTCTACGAACCATAAATTAGCACGCGTAAAACAGCATCTAATTAACTGCTATTAATCAACATAAAAGTGCCAAACAATAATGCATACTCACAGGGAATGCCTTTTTATCAGCCTTTCACAGCATAAATCACATTCAGTCGATTGTCTGATTCTTTCTTACACTTCCCCCTCTGCACACGGACCATGCCTTTCTCTTAAAGGGCCAGTGCACTAACCAAACAAATCAAACATGTACAAATTTGACAACAGTCAGAACAAGAAGTCTTCCAGGAATAATGTCTCTTCGTTTTATTATGTTCACATTTGAGTCTTTAAAAAAGATACCAACTCCATCTGCACTATCCTCCCCGATTGAAATTATTGAGTGCCCCGGACACCACATTTGAGTTAGTGCAGATATATCATTGTCACTTTTCAGTCTCATCTCTTGTAGGCAGAGAATTTCATAATTTAGCTTTAATAAATTTTCAACTTTCCTTTTTCTGTATCTTTCTGATTGTAACCCTCTAACATTCCATGTTATTATTTTAAGAGTACTCATATTTATGTAATAGGAGGTTATTCGGTAGAGGGAGGGAACATTGTAGATTCAACATTACCTTGCGAAGGGCTGGATCGATTGTCTTTTCTCTTATCTCTGCTATAAGACGCCATCGAGACACTTCTTTTCCTTCCCCCTTTTGTTGTTTCATTGACCAACTCCTCCATTGCAGGATGCTGTTTGTTAAGAAAAATCCCTGTTTGTGGATCCACATCATCTCGTCTTGCAGGATCATCTGTAGGAGAAATCTCCACAGGAGTCGAAATGGGTGATTCTTCACTATCACTTGCACTTAGGTAGCTTTCTGATTAATTTTCTTCCTCGCTTTCCCTTCGCTCGTCATCGCTCTCACTTTCCACATCAGAGGTTTGTGAGAAGGATTGGTCTCCCGGTTCTTCTCCACTTTTTACTGTTATTTCTTCAAGTTGTCTTGAGAGCGTCAAATCCTCCTCTATGTTGTTATTGTCTGTCTGCGGCTCTGTTACTCCTGGAAGATTTGTTGTGGTACAGTTACCGGGTTCTTGTCCTGAAACAGCGTCAGGGACAGCCAATGGATTTATTAAACGATCATATTGCAGCGGGCAGGTCTGTGTCATGTCCAGTAAGTGGTTGTAAGCATATGTTTACAAAAAAGTCATCATTTACTTCTCACATGTGTAGGAAGCATAAAGCTTGTTCCCCAGATGGTATTGATGACATGTACAAGGAATCTCATCCTCAGCCCCCAAATGACAGTACAGAATATTCAGAAAACACACATGAAGCCATGCCATCTGCTAGTTCAGCCAGTGATATGCCAGAGAAGGATAGTCATTCTTATCTCAGAAACATGTGTCTCTTTTACCTTAAACTGCAAGGACAGCTGCTAATTCCTGCCTCTACTATACAGAGTATTGCTGAGAAAATGCAGAATGTGCACGAATTGGGTCAAGCCTACACAATTAATAAGGTAAGTTGTTTACTAAAAAATGAAATGAACCTATCAGATGAAGCAGTCACTAAAATCTGTGACTGCATTTAAGAGTCAGATTTGTTCTCTGCTTGCCATCAGGGACAACTAGGAACAACACACACCAGAAATCAAACATTCAAAAAAATGTTTAAATGCACAGAACCCAAGAAAGTGCCATTGGGAATGGATGAAAACATGACAGAAAAATGTGCTTACTACATACCAGTTGGAGAAACCCTGAAGAGCTTTTTAGAGTCACAGTTATGGATTAATACACAGTCACAACAGTTTGGGGGTCCTGATGTAGAAATTTTTAAGGATTTATATGATGGCAAAATTTTCAAATGTCACCAGTTCTTTAATGAAAACCCTGAAAGCCTCAAACTGATTTTGTACCAAGATTCATTTGAGGTAGTGAATCCCCTGGGTTCTGCTAAAAAGGCACACAAACTTCTTGCATTCTATCTGTCATTAGCAAATTTACCCATTCATTTGCGTTCAAATACAGATAACATGCTTTTAGTCTTGTGTGTTGAGAATGACTTCAAGCGTTTTGGAATAGCCAAAGTTTTCTCAGAGTTGTTGGCAGATCTGAAATCCTTGGAGACAGATGGAATAGATGTAGATGGAGAAACAGTAAAAGGGGGTCTTTACTGTATTGCTGGGGACAACTTGGGTTCTCATTGCATAGGAGGGTTTACAGAAAACTTCAGCTGCTCTCAATATTTTTGCAGGTACTGTGAAGTAACACGAAGGGAGTTTTATGCTGATCCGAATGCCTGTGGTCCTCCACGCACTCCAGAGACATATGACGGGGCTGTTGCTGATCTCCAGTCTGAAACTATCCAAGACGTCAGAGGAATAAAGGTAAACTCCATCTTCAATACCCTTCAGTCTTTTCATGTATCCCAGCCTGGTCTCCCACCTTGTCTAGGTCATGACCTCTTTGAAGGAGTTGTGTCATATGATCTAGCACTGTACCTGAAGAACATTATAAAAAAGAAAAAATGGTTCACATACTCCCTTTTAAACAGACGCATTAAACAGTTTAAATATAAAGGATCCGAAGCACTTACAAAGCCATGTACTGTCAAACCTGACGGATCCAAATTATCAGGGCAAGCCGTTCAAAACTGGAACCTTTTGAGATTGCTGCCAGTTTTGATTGGTGACAAAGTACAAAACCATGAGGATGAAGTATGGCAGTTAGCTCTCCAGTTGAAAGACATTGTGGATCTTATTTGTGCTCAGAGCATTTCCTTGTCCCAGATAGCATTCGCTGACATTTTGATCCAAGAATATTTGGAGATGAGAGAGATGTTGTTTCCTGGAATTAAACTAAAACCCAAGCACCACTATTTGCGCCATTATTCAGCACTGTTGTTGAAATTTGGTCCATTGATGAGGTTATGGACGCTTAGGTTTGAATGTAAACACAGTTACTTCAAAAGATGTGCCAGACACTTGAAAAGCTTCAAAAATATTTGTCAAACTTTGTCAACACGTCATCAGATGTATCAGGCTTATCTTTTAGCAGGGCAAGAATGCCGTGAACTGCTGCAAGTCAAGGAGAGCTGTGCGTTTTATCCCAACCTCTACAGTGACACTATTCAGCATGCGGTCAGGGAGTTAGCTTTTTCAGAAAGCAATACCACAGTTACCACAGACATTCAGTACAAGGGCACTGCATATAAAAAGGGACAGTTTCTTGTGTACAGAAATGACGAGTGTATGGAGTTTGGTGAACTTCTACTCATCTTGATTCAAAATGACACATCTGTGTATGTTCTAATGGATATCCACAAAGGCATCTTCCTCTCAGAATACCATCTGTATTCTG